TTTATGTACCTATATAAAAATCGGATATTATGTGTTAATTTTTTAATAAACTCTCTGTTTTCTCAAAGTCCAAAGTCTTTAGCCATACTGTCAGCTTGTTTTTGCATTCACTGTAGGTTAGCGGGTAGATACTAAGAATCTTGTTTATGCGATTATAGATGATAGATGAAAGATGTGGATTTTGGTTTCGAGCAAAGTTTGTATTAGTACGTCTGATTTTAGCTACTCTGTCGTTTCTTCTTTTTTGTATAATATTTGGATCATACGTAATTGATGTGTGCTTTCCTAAAATAGAATGAAGTAAATACAATTTTCTTACAGTAAGTAGGCCCGATAGAGAATAAAGTACTTTTGTTGAAAAATCTCTTTTCTTAAAATACATAAGTTTTATGAGGGCTCTTTGAGCTCGTTCAACCTCTAGAAATTTAGACTTAAGTGCACCTCCCCACACTCTTATGCAGTAAATCTGAACCAATTGGGCAACTGCAACGTATATTTGATTTAAAATGTCTTTTGTGGCTATATGTCGTAGAGTTTTAAAGATCCACATGAGTTTTCGTAGTCTTCCCGCAGCCAGGTCAATGTGGGAGTACCACGAGAGTCTCTGGTCCAGCATGACACCAAGATATTTGAAACTAGATACTTTAGTTATAAGTGGGCATTTGCATTTTAAGTATTGGTTTTGATGACATGAGCCACTGTGGATCCTAATTTCATAGCCAGCCAGCGGTTGTGTGCTGTTGTTTATGGAGAAGCACATATAGCAGGTTTTATTTGTATTAAGTGTAAGGAGGTTTTTACCTAGCCAATTTGCAATTGTTGCAAGTCCCCGTTCAACACGAGATCTGACAGTATCCCACCCGTCACCAGAGAAAACCACCGCTGTATCATCCGCATATGCCAGGACTTGGGCATTTTCGATGTTGATGTTACATAGGTCATTTATGTAAATGAGGAACAGGGTAGGCCCCAGAACACTTCCTTGAGGAACGCCGTAAGCCACACCCAATTCCTCACTCACACACTGACCACCCACTTTTACCTTTTGTGTCCTATCACTCAGATAATCTTTGAGTAGATTCAGTGGCGTACCCCTAATACCTACTCTCTCTAGTTTATGAACAAGGATGGGGATAGAAACGGTATCAAATGCCTTTTTCATATCTAGAAGGACCGCAAGACACTTACGTTTGTTGTCTAGGTTATCTGTTACTATTTTGTAAGGGACTCGATAGCATCTGCTGTAGATTTACCTGCTCTAAAACCATATTGAGAGTCCGATAAGATGTTGTATTTCTCTAAATAGCTCAACAGTCTAGTATTTATAAGTTTTTCAATAATTTTTGAGATAGCGGGTAAAACGGAAATTGGTCTATAGTTACTTACATCGTTCCTATCTCCACCCTTGTACACAGGTGTTATTAGAGCTTCTTTCAATTTAGGCGGAAATACACCTTGGGAAAAGCAGAGGTTAGCAAGGTGTGTGATAACAGGAATCAATTCGTCCTTGGCAAGTTTAAGAAATTTAGTTGGTATACTGTCAGATCCAGGAGCACTACATGACTTTAGATTCATTAAAACAGTGTGTACTTCATCTACATTAGCATTAGATAAACAACTTTCGCAGCAGCCGGTTATTGGATATGTGACCTAATATTGTACTATCTCGTGTTTCTCTGTAGTAGTTAATGCATTCGTTCTGCGATCATGGTAGCTTAGCAACTTTCGCAACAGTCGCTCATTAGATAGGTAGCCTATTTTACTATCTCGTACGTTTGCTATTGTACGCAGCTAATGGCGAATCATGGAAGATAAGCAACTTTCGCAACAGCCGGTCATTGGATAGTTGAACCATTTAAATATCTCGTGCATTTGCTATCGTAGATAGAGAATGAGAATCATGGAAGACAAGCAATTTTTGAAACAGCTGGCCATTAGATAAGTGACCCATTTTACTATCTCGTGCATTTGCTGTCATAAGCAGACACTGGCGAATCATGGAAGATAAGCAATTTTGGAAACAGCCAATAAATGGATAGGTGCCTATAAATGCTACTATTTCGTGCATTTGCTGTCTACTGCGCATTCGGTCTGCGATCATGAAAATTAAGCAACCTTCGCAAATGTGGTCTTGGGATAGGTGACCCACAATTTTAGAATATCGTGCATTTGCTGTCGTTATCCCTTTCGGTCTGGGATCATGGAAGAAAAGCAACTTTCGCAAGAGCTAGTCATTGGATCGGTGACCCAAAATTTTACTACTTTTTGCATTTTCTGTCGTAGTTAACGATTTTTTTTGTTTTTATGGAAGTTAAGAAATTTTCTCAACAGTCCGGCTGTTGAGAAAATTTTGAATATGTGACCCGAAATTTTATAATATAGTGCATTTGCTGTCATTATCACGTTCGGTCTGGGATCATGAAAGATAAGCATTTTTTGCAACAGCCGGTCATTGGATAGTAGATCCATTTTTCGATCTCGTGCATTTGCCGTCGTAAGCAGCTAATGGCGAATCATCGAAGATAAGCAATTTTCGCAACAACCCGTCATTAGCTATGTGACCCATTTTACTATCTCGTGCATTTCGTATCTTTTTTTTATTATTATTTAATAGGTGTACCTACTTACAGCTAAACATATAAAAAAAATAAAAAAATACTTATTCAAAGACATATATGCAAGCAACACACACAACATTCAATTGAGTAAAGTACAATGTAATTAATAATCAATAAATAGTGAAATAAATAATCAATGTTTAATTTAAAATTAATAATGCAATGCCAAATTGATACCAAAAAATAATAATAATAACAATAATAATGCGGAATTAATGAGAATCGAGCAGCTCAAACAATGTTCCTTTAAAGTTTTTCTACGAAACTTATCATCCAAATTTAATTATATATCATAAAATATCCAAGTTGGGTGATTTCGTGTTAATATCATTATAAGTATTGCAGATTCTGGTCAAAGGGTAATGAAGACCAAGGTTAGTTCTGTGCGAAGGCAAAGCAAAAGTATTTGTAAGTGGTTTTCTTGGGCATCTACGGGGTACAGTGACGTTTATTGAGTTAAGCAGATCAGGACAAATTTTTTCTTTAAATTTTATGGAGAAATAACAAATCTATTATTGTTCGACGATTCCTCAGTGATGTCATGCCAAAGAGCTGCTTACGATTACGCAAGCAGCTAAAGGCGATTACGCAAGCAGCTAAAGGCGAATAATTGAAGATAAACACATTTCGCAACAGCCGGTCCATTAGATATGTGACCCATTTTACTACCTTGTGCATATGCTGTCGTAAGCGGCTAATGGTGAATCATGGAAGATAAACAACTTTCGCAATAGCCGGTCATTGGATAGGTGACCCATTTTTCTATTTCGTGCATTTGCTTTCGTAAGCAGCTAAAGGCGAATCATGAAAGATCAGAAATTTTCGCACCAACCGGTCATTAGATATGTGACCAATTTTACTATCTCGTGCATTTGCTGTCGTAAGCAGCTAATGGTGAATTATGGAAGATAAGCAATTTCGCAACAGCCGGTCAATAAATATGTGACCCAATTTACTATCTGGTGCATTTGCTGTCATAAGCAGCTTATAGCGAATCATGGAAGATATGCAATTTTCGCAACAGCCGGTCATTAGATATATGACCCAATTTATTATCTCGTGCATTTGCTGTCGTAAGCAGCTAAAAGCGAATCATGGAAGATATGCAATTTTCGCAACAGCCGGTTATTAGATATAATGACCATTTTACTATCTCGTGCATTTGCTGTCGTAAGCAGCTAATAGCGAATCATGGAAGATAAGCAATTTTCACAACAGCCGGTCATTAGATATATGACCCAATTTATTATCTCGTGCATTTGTTGTCGTAAGCAGCTAATGGCGAATAATGGAAGATAAGCATTTTCCGCAACAACCGATTATAAGATATATGAACCATTTTACTATCTCGTGCATTTGCTATCGTAAGCAGTTGATGGCGAATCAAAGAAGATAAGCAATTTTCGCAACAGCCGGTCATAATATAGGTGACCCTTTTTACTATCTCATTTATTTTGCTATCGTTATCAGCTAGTCATTGGATTGTTGGCGTGGCGTTGTGGGTCATGGCCTATGGACATCTTGAGGGAAGGACTGAATTCCAGCAGTAGAAGCATTAAATAATTAATTTTATTTATTTAATACTAGATACACATGTGGCACCCAATTACAAAAATTAACACAGTAGGTACTACAATACATAGCTTGAGCTAATAAAAAAAAACATAAAATAAAACATTAAAAGGACATTTTTATTGGACTGTTCTCCAACAATACCGCAAACATGGCACAATTAGGTTGCTGACACATAAGTGCATTGAGTCCAACATGCATTTGACTGATAGGTGAGTGGTCGTGCGTAACAATAAGGCCCGAAGGTAGTACGAAAGTATTGGAAGGGCGATGAATAAGGCTCATGATAATATCTTTCATAGGGCTATTTAAATTAAGCGGGAATACATTAAGCTCGTTAATGAGTACATTAAATAAAAAAATGAATATTTCTAACGCTCACACTAATTAGCTTAGCCTCAAAGTAAGCACTTTAAGCTTGTGTTATGGTATACTATGGTAACGGATGGTAATACATATACTGACACATATAAACGTATATTTTTATATAGATATATGTATATATAAATACCCATATGGGTACAAATGCTCGTATCATCGTACTTACATTTGCCCCACCGGGATTCGAACCCGGGACCTTGAAGTAAGCGGACACCTTGAAACCCGTCATCAATACCAATCGACCAAGGAGATGTCTTCGCTTTATGCTTTACTGTATCTAACTTTAAATTACTAAACAATTTAAAATTTGTAAGACAGGAATAGTAATATTAGTATGGATACATACATACTTTTACAATATTTGATCAATTTTACTCCTACCTAATAATCTTTATAAAATGTTTAAATTAAACGTTTGTAACTTAGAAATGATACTAGTGTTTAGACTGCATAGGATTTTAATATTAAAAAAATCTGTTAACATTTATACATTGACGTACAAAATAATTATAACATCAGTCTTTGTCCAAAATACATTGTTCAGCACGTATATATGTACAAATAGGTCACATTTACTTAATTATCTACACTAATTAGAAAGCATTTGGTCAAAATTAGTATGTTTTTATATTAATCGCGGAAAAAATGCATACTTTAATTTATTTAACATTTAATTTTCTTTAAGACAAAGCTTAATTTTCACATCTTATTAACATTTTATTTTAATAAGAATCATTTTAATTTCTGCATATTAATCAATATATATTTACCTAATGTTTAGAAAATATTTGATATAGAAATCACTTTTATTAAACAATGGTTTTAGGATACTATGGAAAAAAGCATAATTTCATAAAAAAATATTCAGATTTCTTTGATTGTACAAGTTGTACATACCTATTACATACAAATAATTCTTATTTAGCAAAGAAGAGAAAAAGCAACATCAAGCAGGTTAGGAAAATACAATAGTGTTAGCACAACATAATCAGATAGAGAAAATGTAGTAAAAATCGATATATTTTGGAGGGTATACATTACACATTACATTATACAATTTCTTCTTTTGAAAAAATACTTGAAATCATTATGCACTTGAATTTATTATTAGAGGTTTAGTTGTGTTACTTATGTATTCACGGCCACACTCGAGAGTAGTCGGTTAAATGCTTGTCAAATCTTCAAATGTTTGACCCCGCATTCGTACTCCTATAATTCGCGCACGATTCGTACATTCGAGTAAATTAGTATTAATGACACCTAAATAAGCTAGCACCCTCAACATTGCATTACTCGCACCTGATTTCAATACACAACAAAACAAACATCATTCAAACACCTCACTTATTCGAATTCTTTATTTATGCTATCCATTGCATTTAAAACGTCGCATATACTCGCAGCGTACGCTCTGACGTCATCGTCTTTCTTAATCTTCAAACTGGCCATGTAGAGTTTCTTATACATATCTGTCATTTTCTCATAGTCCTTGTTACTTTTCGACCGGCAGTACTGAATGATACTCTTCAGTATAAAATGCAATCTATTCTCGTAAAGAGACAGCAAGCTTTGTTCAGTTTTTATCGCTTTCTCGTCGCCGTCTTCCGTCTTCTGTTGGTCTTTTTGGTCTTCTGCGTCGCGGTCGTTTATCAGCTTCATGATGGAATGGCACTGCCTCAACAATTGAATGGCGGTTTGAAGAGATTTCAGTTTGAGATTCGGTGACACTGTAAAGGAATAGTAATAATAAAATCCTAAAACACTTAGAAACTAAGCAGAGCTTGTACCTACTTATATATAATATTGAATAAGGAATGCTATTCATAATCGAGTATGTAATTTCCATGACTGGGGAACTAATATTTATGCTCATTGTGTTGTAAAATGGCTCTGACACGTGCAGCGTGCTCGTAGTTCCTTAACGTCGCTTTCCACAAGGAAATCACTCTTATTCCATTGACATAAAGCCCAAAGGTTCAGTTGTACCATGAATTACATTCCCGCGTCCTTGAGGCTGGCAAACATGTACAATACGAATCTTATTCCATTGATATAAAGTCCACTTACCGGCGGTAGCTTGTCCTCATAGACACCTCTAGCACTAGACGGCCACGACCACGATCACTCATGGCTGTGGCCACAACCTTGGTCGCAGAAGCTACGGTTGGGCTGCGGCCAAGTTTGCGGTCACGACCACGACTGGTCGTAATGCATCCATATTGCTCTGATCGTTTCTGATTCCATGAATAATTAACTCTGTATCAATATTCATTACAGAAAAAAACGACGTCGTATTGCGTTGCGGAACGATACGAAACGTGTTCAATCACGAACTGTCCGCATGACGCATTCGCGGTTGCAAATCTTGTGCGCGAGCGCTGATAGCAAAGTATACGTAAGTTGGTCGCAACGACCGGTCATGCCAGGCCGGGTGCGCGGCCATTTGTTCGTTGCGACTAAGTTCGCGACATTCGGTTGGTTTCTTTAGTTATCTGCTCGTTGCGGCCACTGGCCGTGGTCGTGGCCGTCTAGTGCGCGAGTTGTCTAACGCGACCAAGTGTACCGTGAAATACATTCCAGTGTCTTTGAGGCTCGCTAATATGTTCCAAGTGTGTTCGTAGTTCGTTCAACAACAAAAGAGTTTTATTACATTGATGTAAAATCCCCTTACCTACAATAGCTGATAATCTTGATAGTGTAGAAATTTAGGCTGTCTTTTGTCGCAGGTCTGCATGAACGATTACCACAAAATGGGTCTTATTCCATTGACATAGAGTAGACTTACCCGCAGCTTGCCCCTCTAATGCGGCTACGTGTTCCAATTGAACCGTGAGATACATTCCCGCATCCTCGAGGCTCGCGAACATGTTCGCGGCGTGCTCGTAGTTCGTTCGCGTCGCGTTCAACAACGTTCGCCGCTTGGGGCCGTCCTCATGTGTTATTCTGAAAATTTTATGGTACAAGTTTTCCTCAAGAGTTTTTATTAATAGCGATATTTTTCAAAGTGTGCGACAACACCCTGGTGTTGTGGGCACTGGAATCTTACAAGGCTTATGGAGGCAATAGTAGATTAGAAATGAATCGATAAAAAAAATATAGCCAATAAATAATTACTTAAAGGTAATAATTTAGGCGGGTGCTAAAAACAATTGATTCACAAAGAGGGCGATAGACCAATAAGTTTGAGAACCTCTTGTTCATGTTTGAAACGAGTCAATCATTTAGGCGGGCGCCATAAAACAATTAATTCTCAAAGAGGTCGGTAACCCAAAATATTGTTTTAAGGCGCAGCATGTAGCGGTAGTTTAGAGGTATTTGAGAGTGTGAAGCAGGGGAAGTGAGTGATGGGTACTGTCAGTCACCACGCGCAAACCCCGTTGACGTTCACAGCTTTAAAGTTGTTTTATACTTAAGCGGACCGGTAAATATAGTCGTATTATACTATACATACAAACATTACATACGATAAAAATAAATAAAAAACGATTTCTGAAGTTGGTTTTTTGACATGACATCACACAAACTAATAACACGTCAATAACATTGTATCAAAGTTGTAAAAACGATTTCTGAAGTTGGTTTTTTGACATGTCATCACACAAACTAATAACACGTCAATAAGATTGTATCAAAGTTGTGCAAAACTACATGAAGCTAAAGCTCTCAGACATTGTAGCAGACACATCCAGCAGCGAAACCATCACAAAACGTATTTTGGCAACTGATTTGGTTTCAAGGATTCCGTGCCTAGGAAAAAAATGGAACCCTTATCGGTCGTTTTCACTAGGTGTTCTTCGTATAACTTCCGTCACAATTTTAAATTTTCATTAAATTATTGTCCCACCTATAAAACTTAAAAACCACGTTAAACTTTATAAATTTAGCGCTTCTTTTCATTATTTAGTTTTGGCATAAATCCAAAGCGATGTACATTTGGACGTGACGAAAATTAGATTCGCAGTGGCAAACTTTAAAGAATTGCTCAATAAATTATGAATTTCTGTTTTGATAACACATACATAGTAGTAATCAACATACAAATCATTGTTTAGATGTAAACTTAGATTAAAACAAAAAGGGTAGATACGGCACTAGCCTCACAAAAGTGATCCGCATAAATTGTGGCCCAAGGCCACAATCGCCTTAGTCACAACTTGACATGCAAATGACGTACATGTGAACGTCAAAAAGAAATATTGCTAAAATTTTGTGATTATAAGATAAAACAATGCCTAAGTGTTGTTTTTAAAAGTGCTCAAATTGCTCAAGTACTAAAAATAAAACCGACGGCATCACTTTTCATTCGTAAGTACTATAAAATATATTTTTTCATAAAAATGCTGTTTGTTTTGAATCTTATTCGGTATTTGTTATTAAGAAAAAGACAACAACACTTGTAAACGTTTGTATGAGGGAGAAAAAGCATAAGCTCAAATATTTGCCATTGTAATGTCAGTCGAGAGTAAAAATTGGGTAGAGTCAACAAAAAAAATATTTCGTATTTTTTTTTTTTGGAATATTAATTTATGTAGGTAAAAAATATGCTGCATTTATTAAACTCATTACATTTTGGTTTCTTCGAAGAGGTTTATTTATTTTTTCAGACATTTTAGCTTTAATATACTCTTACAGAAATGGCGTTTTCATTCTTTGTAGGGTTTAAAATTGTTTTTGTAATCTTCTTCTTTTTCCAGTGCCTCTTCAATCCTGAAGATTGGCCGTTAGCTTCCTGTATGTAATTCTATCAGCAGCCAGCCGGAACAACTGTTCGACGGTGGCAATACCGGTCCACTCCCGGATATTCCGGAGCCATGACTTTTTTCTTCGCTCAGCACGTCTCTTTCCGTCCACTTAGCCTATCATTATCAACTGCAGCAGCATGTATCTATCGTTCCTGAGCACGTGGCCAAGATATTCTATCTTGCGCTTTTTGATAGATGAATTTAATTAGATTGATTTTAAAAGAGAAACAAATTGTCTTTATTTGAAGAAAAATGATTTCAAATTTTATTTTTAAGTGCTTTAAATTAAATAATTTGTTCCTTTTTTGGTGTGTAAATACTATTGTACCATGATATATGTAATGCATATATTTTTGTAAATATGCTGCTGAACCGACGAAATTCGTACCGCTAACAGTCCATGAATATTATTATCTTCAAATTTTTAGCTTCATTGAATTAACGATTTTACAACCGAAATAAAACAAATACAAAAGAAAATCAATCAGTTTGGTATTTAATGTAATAGATGTAGAGAAAATTATCGAACAATGTGTACTTCAATGGTGTATTAAAATCGGGGTTAATTGATTGCCAGGTTTTTGGCACAATATTCTTTATACACAGTCATCCCTTAACCTGTCAGTACCTTAAGACTTCTTTCGATTTAGAATGGTTCTATGTTTTGGAAACTAATACCAAAAGGATAGAGCGCGTGAAAGTTTGGGAGAGAAGGCTTGTAAAGTCACTTCTAAGTAAAAATTGTACCAAGACGTGACGTCATGGGAAATTTCATGTCAACATATCTCTGTAATGTTTTAATTATGTGAATAAGAAATAAATACTTGTCCAATACTTTTATTAATCTACCTGGCCGACGAAGAAAAAAAGGTTTTGTCATCAACCCTATTGCCACACAGTAGGTAGGTACCTAGTAAGATTCTTACTTCTGTTATAAAGCCCAAGGCATAACTTATGTTTATTTTTATTTATCGATGATGATTATTGTTTTTGTTATTTAATTTTACCTTTATATTTTTTTATTATTTAAATGAATAATTTAAAGTATAGTTTAGATTAGATTTATAAAACAAGCAATTCATGCTTAGAAGAGAAATATAATAAGTGTTTCGGATTAGATTCTTTTAAATACTGTAGACGATGAAAATTTCCAAATCCAGCAGTACAAGGTATCTTAAAAAATTGTTGACGGTATCGTATAAAAGACCTACTTTTAGTAGGTACGCTTGTTAACTGATTTTTTATCAGGTGATATAATAATGTGTGTCAAATCAAATCAGTTTATGATTGGTATTGAAATATTATAAGTGTAAAGTTTCTAGTAAAAATTGTATCTCGATTAGATTCTTTTAAACACTGAATACAATAAAAATGACCACATCCAGCAGTATAAGATACCTTAAAAAAATGTTGACGTTATCATGTAAAAATCCTACTTTTAGTAGGTATACTTGTAAACAGTTTCATTCCCTCAGCTTTTCAAAGTAGATTGAAAATTGCTCAATGTGGAATTTTTTTATTGAATTTTAATAAAAAACTTATATTTAATAAAAAATACTTTTATTTTTTTCTCTGACGCTACTCTGTAGTGACGTCGAGTACTGGTCGCGTGATTGGTCGGTAGCGCAGTGACGCGGATCTCGCCGTCCCGTTCGCGCTGCCGTTGAAACTTATATTGCTGTTTCGTTCGTTCGATAGTATCTTTACAAACAGGTGGATGTGTGAGTGTTGCATATGTAGTAAAATGGGATCAGTTTTTGTTTGATGCAAGTAAGAGCGTACCGTATCTACCCTTTTTGTTTTAATCTAAGGATGTAAATGACCAATATAAAAACTAACAAATTGTGCGAAATTACAAAAAAATATTCTCGGTACTTTGAGAACACTTTAAGAAAGTTATTAGGCCTTTTTTCTTCACGTTTAAGTGTACCAGAATCGGGTGACGGAAATGAGGAACACGAGGTTAATTTTAAATTATAAAAATAATAATATTGAATCAAACAGTTTAATAATATTGAATAATGCTTTAAGGATAAATTCAACGTTTCATTTGTACAGAATCATCATTTAACAGACAAAATTTTCAGGTATTAAAGAATAAAAAGGCATTAAACAAGTAAACGGAAATCAGAGAAATCGTAAACCATGCGAACTGAAATTACTATATTAGGTTGTTTAGTGAAACGCATGACATAGCTTCGGTTACCGCTGCAACTCGTGGAGGTATCGAGTTGAAATTTAAACAATACTCAAGTCTGCAATCCCTTGAAGCTGTGAAAAAATCTAACTTCTGAATTAAGGTGAAAAAAGATACGGTCGTTTATGTTGCGTATCTACAAATTTATACTGAACCCTCGGTGGGCGATACCGACTCGAACTTGTCGTTTTTTTTTATTTATTTAGAAGTAAAGTAATCAAGTTGTTTTCACAAGGATACCTAACGCTAGTTTCAAGTATAGCTAAGGTGAAATTTGCGAAAACAAGACGATTAAGCGATTTTTCACGTGGTAACTTGTGCTTTTGCTATTGAAACATATGTAGACAAAATATATGTTTATGGTTGATCAAACATTTTAAAACCACTCGAAAATATGGTTAATAAATCAGCTTCAAAACTGCGTAGATAATAAGTTTTTGCTCTATGTAACATTTATTTTTAGCTATGGACACTTTTTTGGTTTTCATTGTTTATTTAAAAGAATACGAAGTAATCAAGTTGTTTTTACGAGGGTATCAAACGCCATTTTCAAGTAGTATAAGCCAAGGTGAAAATTACGAAAAATACGAATAAAGCAATTTTTCAGGTAAAAACGTAATGCCGCTAGGTAAACAACACAGGTACAACTTAATTACTTATTATTATTATTTTTAATATGCCATAACTTTTTGTGTAAATATAGATACATTCACGCTGTAATTTCCTCGAATTGCGATAATTTTTTTCAAGACAAAATCTATAAAGGATTTTTTCCATAATCATGTTTACGTGCTAGTAAACAATTTTCTTAGGAACTGAAGATATACATATATAAAAATCATATGTACAGCATCTATATAGGTTTTCTAATAACAGAGTCCAAAATTATGTTTTGACTACCTACAGCGCACAGTGGGTGAAAAAAAGAGGTCCCCTTTCATAGGATTTTTGAAAAAATAAAAATGTTTATTATCCGTTTAAGGTATGCGGTTTTATTGGACATA